GAAAAGTTGAAAAAAAATTGAAGCACACCCGGATATAAAGTTCCTCCCATTTTCTGTCAGTGATCAAAACATAAACGCGTCAATCCAATTTGATAAATTGAGACATAACTGTACGCTGGGGAAAGATCCGCAACTAGGAGAAAAGCCAGATTTCTGTGAATAGGGGAACAGGACAACCGGAATTAAATTGATTCGAATTTGCAAAAATCAGAGATGAATATCCAAGGCTTTGAAAGCCTCAAAATGAGAGTTTAACAGTGAAGTCAAAACCGAAACAATGTGCAATAGATTCAACGTCATCTTAAGTGTTCTTCTGGTAGCAATGTAAATATTCCGCTATTGAAAGCTGGCGCATTTACATATAAAAGCACTTTCAATCTTTTCTCTTCTCTGCCTAATTTTTGGCGCCAATTTTTTGTATGGTTGTTTTTTGTTCCGCCTTTCGATACAAAATTTACGGAACATTTGTGCTCGGGGTGAGTTTTTTCAGAGCACAAATATTTTTGACAAAATCAGACAAAGTTCGGCTTTTTAACTAGCCATTTTTGACGGAACTTTTCTATCATTCAAAAAATATAGTTGCCCTGAGCCTGAGTTTGAAAAATATATATTTCACCTGTGATTATTTTTCGTAAAGTTATGGGGGTTTAAACATTGCGATTTCGAACAATTTGGGACAATTAACGTGCGATATATTTCGCGCTATTAACGCGAAAGCAGAGATTTAAACCGTCTTAGAAATCGTTCAAAATTGATTGAAAGTAGTTTATCTGCCATAATTGATTTTTTCAGGGAGCGAAATTTTTTTTGTACTTTATATGGCGTGTGGGGATGATTTTCATAAAAAAATTCAAAAAAAAATTTTCTTTCTATTTTATTACATTTTATGTTATAACTGCTCTATAAACCTCAAAAGGCAGTCGGATTCAAAGGCTTCGCACTGTTTTTAGCAGTTTTGTTTTGTATGAATTCTATAAGTTTTCTTACAACAGGATGAGCTTATTCCAATCGTAACTGAAACGCTCCAGGCCAACCCTTTACAGAATTGTTAGTCTTCTATTTTTTTTTGAAATTGACGTCATTTGGAAGTCAACAAAAACCTTTAGAAGTTAAAGGCAAGGATTCACTTCCTTTAAATGTTTAATAATTATCAATAATATGTGATTAAGATATTCTTTGTAAAAGGAAATAAACTGCAGGCTGATAAAATTGATAGAATTTTTTTTTGCCTACTTTCAAAATTGTGAGAATTTCAAGGTTGATTTCTGTTTAATTGATTGCTCGCGGTTAAAACAGAAATCATGAATCATTGTATTTAAACCCATTACACAAAACTTAAAAACATACTGTTAAATTAGTTTTTCATTGTCCTCCTCTTTTGACTTGAAAACGGCGCACACGCCTAAACACCGCCGGAGAAAGTGATATATTTACCAAATTATAAAGTTAGAACAAAACTGCTCGTATCAGGGCGGAGCGCTGAATGTTCCGACTGCCTATTAAGGTTTATGGAGCAGTAAAAACATTGAAAAATTAAAAGTAATAAAACAAAATGAATATTTTTTCTTTCTAAAATTTGAAATTTTTTAAATAAAAATCATCCCCCACACGCCTTATAAAGTACAAAAAGATAGATATAGCTACTTGTAACAAATCAATTATGGCAAATAAGCTCACTTATGGAAAATAAGCTTCGTTAAACCAATTTGGAACGATTTCTAAGACGGATTAACTCTCCGCTTACGCGTTAATAGTGCGAAATATATCGCTCGTTTATCGTCACAAATTGGCCAAAATGGCAATCTTTAAACCCCCATAACTTTACAAAAAATGAACACAGGTAAAACTTCCTTTAAAATCTGAGCTCAGGACAACAATACCTTTCGAATGAAACAAAAAAAAATCCGTCAAAATTGGCTAGATAAAAAGTCGAAATTTGCCTGAAGAAAAAAAAACCCACCCTGAGCACAAATAATCCGTTACTTTCGTATCGAAAGTCGGAACAACAAGACTGCTCGTATCAGAGTGAAGCCCTGAATTTTTGGTCTGCGTTTTAAGTTCTATGGAGCAGTAGTAACATGGAACATTTAAATGTAATAAACTAAAATTATAAAATTTTGAAAAAAAAAATTGAGATTTTTTGTAAAAAATTCACCCCACACGTCATATTAAGTACAAATTGATAGGTTTTGCTCCTATTAACAAATCAATTATGACATATAAGCTTCCTTGAACCAAATTGGAACGATATTTAAGCTTTATGAGTTAATAGCGCGAAGTGTATATCTAGTGTATTAATTGTCCCAAACTGGCCAGAATGGCAATCTTTAAACGCCCATAAATTTACGAAAAATGATCACAGATGAAACATATTTTCAAATTTAAGCTCGGAACAATAATAGTTTTCGATTGATAAAAAATTTCCGTCAAAAAAGGCTTGTTAAAGAGTCGAAATTTGTCTGAAGAAAAAAAACCCACCCCGAGCAGGGGCAGATTTAGGGGGGAGGGCGTTTGGTGGGTGCGGACGCCTCCCCCATCCCTCAGGAATTCGACCCCCTGCCAACCCAAAAGGTCCCCCTTTGGTACTTTTTAGGAAATCCATTTTTGACAGACCGACCTTAAAATTTTTCTAAAGGCGTCTTAGGCGCCAATATATACTAACTTTGAGGGGGAGCGCGCGCCAAAGAAACGCAATTTTTTTGTCAAAATGTTCCAAAAAATGCCCAAAAACGGCTTTTTGACCCCTTTTTTCGTGAATTTGCCGGCGGCGCAGAAAATTTGGCCAAAACAGGGTCTTTTTACTGCTTAGAAGAGCTCGGAAAATCAGTTTGATCGACCTAAAAAAAAAAGATCGTCAAAACTTTCGAAAACTTTCGAAAATTCCGCCCCCCCCCCCTCGAGAAAATTTTAGATCCGCCCCGGACCCCGAGCACAAATATTCCGTTACTTTCGGTACGAAAGTCGCAGCAAAAACTAGAATGCTTCAATTCAATTTGAAACGACTTCTGAACCGGGTTAATTGGCCTCTTACGCATTGATAGCAGAAAAAGTATATCGCGCAATAATTGTCCCAAACTGGCCAAAATGGCTATTTTAAAATTTTCTTAACTATAGGAAAGTTGTTCGCAAGTAGAATTTTTTTCAAGACTTCAAAATTTTTTGGTGATGCAAGTGCAAGACTATTCTGTCAAATTGGATAGTTGAAAAGTCAAAACTTGTCTCTGGAGAAAGAAAAAAAATGCCGCGAGCATAAACTTTGGAGCAAAAATTGAATTCAGAACACTATACGTGTTTGAGTTGCAGGTCCAATTTATCTTGATAAAGATTTATCAATAAGACTCGTTTACTCATGAAATATTAAGCTCAGCGTTTGATAGTCGTAGTGGCAGTCGCGGAGAAATACTTTGAGCATTTAACTAAACAACCGATAATTATGTAGTTTAATAGAAATAATTCGATAATTTGTACTACCGAAGTTTGATACAAATAAGCTCATGGGACAACCCGGGCCAATATTGTGGTCATACGGTGAGACTATCGCAAGAAAATGTTGGTACTATCAGACTGCTGCGACCACAACTGGGTTTATCCAGACCATCACAGCCAAATTTGGGTATTTCCAGACGTTGCAGACAAAGAGAGGGTCCGCAAAAAGCGCAACCCAGAAAAATTTAACCCAGAAGTAAGCGATTTATGAACAGACCCTCGTGAACCATACTATACTATGACTAATTGTTAGATGATCGAGCCCAATTTCACTATTTTAACACAATTTCTGCGAAATTACCGTGCTGATTTAAATTAACCGGACAAAAGCAATAAAACATGAAGTTTAATTGTGTTTTTCTCAAATTGAGTTGTTTTAAGATTTAAAAAGAGTTGAATACAAAATTTGCTTAGAACTTCCACAAAATGAAAACGATACTTTTTTCCCTTATTTTGAGCCTTAAATTTGGCCCCAAAAACGGGTCATTTTGGTTTTTTCAGTCAATCAAAAATTACGTCAAAACTACCGATTTTATTGTTGACCAAACTTAATCAAAGCGAGCTTCTTATATAGCCCAACAAAATTTAAAAGAGGGAATAACTTCCAAAAGTTTAGCAGTTCAAAGCGTTACAATCATTTTGCGCAAAACGTTTATAAATTTTTTTGATTCATTATATATAAAATAATTGATATTTTTGGGCTGGCAAAGGGAATAAAATAAATGATAGAAAATGGTGAAGGTTACGTTTTGTTGGAAGAAGAAGATCACTTTGAAATAGTGTCGTCAGCAATTGAACCGAAAGCCAAAATGATCTGTTTTTGGGACAAACTTCAGACCAAAATTTAGCAAAAATAAATGCAGTGTTTATTGTGGTATTATTGTTAAGCAGGCTTTATTTCCATCGTTTTTTGTTTGAAGACAACCAAATTTGAGAAAAAAAATTTCTACACTTTCAAGTTTTATTTGTTGACAGGATAATTTAAATCAGCACTCCAGAAATCTGTCAAAAACGATTAACTTTAGGTCGCAGAATTAGCATCGGCTCGACTTTGAGAGTTTACAAATAATTCGCGATACTCCACCTGCATAAGAAGGTCTTCAAACTACCTTGTATGCTTGCTCTTTATGATAGAATTTAGACTTGTTTAGTATAAATTTCCATTGCATTTTTCATACTCAATTACAACTCAAGTTTCAGAATGGTGACAGGTTTCAAAGTGCGTGAGACAGACATGTCGACTCATTCAAGTCAATAGTGTATTTTTAGTTACTACTTCAAAGGTAGCTTTCTTCTAAAAATGGTGCCTTTATTGACCGACTTCATCATAGTGAAATTAGATGTATAAGTAAGAAGAATTCGAATGGTGCTTGAGGCAAAAGCTAAAAGGTTTTAGAAAGTACAACCCTTTCAGAAACATGGGGATGGTAAATTTCTCAAATGTTTCTGTCTCTCTCGTCTTGATAATTGACCATATATTTTTAAAATCAAAAAAACCTTTCAGCGTTGATTTTTACCACCCTATAGAAAGCAGGAAAACTATGTGGAGTATTTTGTCTAAAAGCAGGTATGGAGAGCGTAATGTTTTAGCCCAGCAAAAAGCATCATGGCAGAGAAGGTTTTTCCATTTCCTTTATGTTATAACAGTGAATCGTGATTATTTTCCATCACTTGATGGATAAAATTGTCGGTTTGTGTGAGCTTTTAGTGATTAGTTTCAGCTACATTTTTGAATAAATTAGTTGCTTCTTTGTCAAAGAAATACCAAAAATGACTTCCTGAATTGAGCCTGACAACAAAATACCAGTTAAATTTTTCATGTTTCAATTTTATCCCTTCCACAAGCCTTAATTGGTACTTACAAAAACGCAAAACTTTTCCTACAAATGAATTCCAAAAAAAAATTCATCGTCAAAATCTGAGTTTGCTGTTTGAGTGAGAAAAAAAACGTCCAAACAGATGAACTTTTCCCATCTTCCTTCGCAATTATGAAGTGAACTTCTAATTATCGCAGTCTAAACTGTTGATTTAAAAACCAGCTTACGTTTCTTCAGATTAAAAACAGGCACGATTCCGTTTATTTAAAAAAAAAAATGGCCGCAAAAAATGAGGGTAGAGCCGAACTGGTTATCCTCGGCGCTTCGATCGGCGGAGGTTTCCTAATAAGGAAGTTAATCAGCACCGGCACTTATCGGAAGTTTAACACGACAGTAATTGACAGGAATGAATATATGGAGTGGTTTGTGAGTATCGACAGGTACATATGTGATGAGTCATTGGTGGATGGCCACATGGTACGGGCTAAAGATTACTTCGAGAAAAACAAATTGGAACAGTACAACATGAAATTTGTCCAAGGTATGCTATTTTATTTCGTTTTTTAATTAAAGCAAGGATAGCTGGTTACTTTGCAAGAAGAACAGAATTTTCCGGCCATAGTCTTAAAAAAAAATACATTTTTTTTCAAATTTGTGTCAATTTTTTCTGCTTTGGTTGATAAAAAGATCTGAACGAAAAAATAGAACTTGCGCATATCTCACAAAGCAAAATAAGCCAATTGGATTACAACTTTTTGAAGCTTTTGAAGTCATCAAAAATTTTTGAAGCTTTTGATTCTCAAAATGGCGCATAAATAAGCTATTGTAAGCCTAGACGCTCCCTTTATTAGCTCAAAATCTGAACAAATGTTGATATAATATATTGTTCAGCCCAGCCCGATGATTATTTTTGGGACCTGATTTTGCGAAGAAAGCAAACAAGTAGAAAAAAATCTGAAAGACACTCGAATACACAGTTTCTACCCATTTCTCAAATGGTCGGAACAAAAATGTTGTTTATTGGCCGTTAAAACTGAAATTTATTAGTTTTCTGAAAAATGGCTTGTCAATAAAGTTCTGTGTAGAATTGTCATATTACTCGGAGCCGCGAAACTTGTTTAAAAATTCTAAATCGCATTAGGATAAGTCGCATTAAATTTAATCTTGCTTATGGACTGAAAATTGAAGTTGTTTTTGGTTGCGACACTAAGTTTTTTTTATTTTAATCTTGTTTTACATGAATATGGCCGGTTGCACTTTGTGTTACGTTTGTGTTGATATAAAAAAAATTAGGTTGCGCAAGCTCATTCGTTCTCAATTGTGTGCTCAGAATTATTTTAAAGTAAGTCATGAATAAAATGTTAAGAGCAAAAATTCATTTTAATTTATGTACATACACGTTTCAGCCTCCAATCAGCCAAGCCTTGCTGAATGTTTTATTTAAAATGAGTTTGGAAAAGTACGTTACTCTAGGTCATTTTATATTTGATTGTTTCTTGCAATTGATCGAAATTTTTTTGAAATTTTTGTTATGGGTTAATTTATTATAAAAACTGTGATCACATTATAATGTTCGTTATGTATATAAAGAAAATCAATCTCTATCTGATTTCAAAAATGTTCCGTAAGGTTCATAAACAACTTAAATTGACTCAGAAGCAATATTGCTTCAAAGTTTGACCGTCAAAATCTTCAGAAAATGTTTAACCATCCGGGTTGAGGTTGTGGTTTTTTGATCAGACGGGCGCGACCAAGTTTTGGTATTTCCAGACTGCTGCGACCAAAATTGGATTTTTCAGACAACCGCGACTAATTTTTTCACCACTGCGTCTAATTTTTTGACCATTCCGCGACTAATGTTCCGACCGCCGCGACTAATTTTTGACTGCCGCGGCTAATTTTTCGACTATGCCGCGACTAAGTTTTCGACAGCCGCGACTAATTTTTTGTCCATCGCGAGACAGATACGGTATTTCCAGAGATTGTCCGCTACTTAAAGCGCTGTCTAGACTATGCATTTTCGGTCGCGGACCTTGACCCGGGCAACACGATTAGGTTAGTAAATGGTTTCCTGAAAATTATTTATTTTTGTTATGTCTTTTTTATAAGCTATTTTTAGAAGTCTCCCAAATAATGGTGAATACAAAGCAGTGGTTCAATTATTTCAATTATTTCAAGTATATTTACACTTTCATTTATTTCTATTAATCGATTCATTTTAATTTATATGCTTTAAATATATGCAGATCGGTAACCATCTACGATGTGAGATGAGGTTTATAGCGCTCACTTATGTTAATGAAAAACCCAGGCCTTGATTTTTTTAGTAGATCAGAAACTATTTGGTTCCAAGCTGTGATACCTCAAGTAACTGAGACAGCTAGTCAAGACTTAATTCATCTTGTTATATATATAATAAGTACTTTAACAAATCATGTCATGATAATAAATTGGGTCTACTTAAATCTTTCATAAGTCAACTAGAGAGTGAATGAATAAGCTTGCTTAGAAATTAACCGAGGTTTGACAGGTCGATAGCGACCTTGATAACCAACATTAGAATAACAGCTTAGATTAGAATGACGTCATAAGTAACAATGAATAATACAGTACTACACCTTAAACAACACCGTACCACATTTCCCCCTCTAGGAAAAATTCAAATGAAACATATAAATTTTTCAAATATAACTGCACTAAATACAAATTAACTTGAAAAGACTGAAAGGAATTAACGATTGAGTGAATACAGAATTAAGAGTTTGAGCAAAGAGTTTAAATCTAACGAATATGACCAACAGCAGAGTTTAATTTTCATTCCGTCGCAGCGGGTTATCCGACGACGAATTGACAGTGGGAAATCGATTGAATTTCCTAGTAAAGCCGCCGGCCTCGTTAGGAGAATCCTAGTAAAGCCCCCGGCCTCGTTGGGAGAAACAAATCTCATTATGAATTTTTCTTAAGCTCTTCGATGCATTTTAAGATCAAAACATTTTTTTTTCATTGTGGTTGATAAGAGTAGCTTTAGACTCAAACATTTAGATCTCTGCAGCGATTTTTTTAATTGAACTTTATTTATTTTTTCATTTACTAAAAATTGGGTTTTCCTGTCTTGAATTTTTTGTTTATTCACAAAAAATATAATTACAAGTGAAAAATGATATTTAAAAGAGTTAATAAAAACTCACAGAAAACTATCATTATCAAAAAAAAAAGAAATTGAAACATAATGCATATTTCTCTGAGCAAATTTGCAATGAATCAACGAAAAATCAGCAAAATTGCAAATATAAGATGCAAAAAAGTCAACGAATAGCAAAAAAAAATAGCGAGGCGAGCTCTTGCAAGTAACTCGAAGTTTATTTAGGCCGAAATAGTCAACATCCAGGCTGAGAATAAAACAAAGCGGACTTTTTTATATATGCATAACAGTTTTTGATCAGCTCTGCGATCTGCAGAAACCGAATTAATTTTACGATTGCGATTAGCAAGCGCTATCAAATTTAAACATCGACCTTTTCCACTCATAATAATCATTATGCCTAAACATCTTCGGCCCATCTTATATTGGCTTAGATGATTCATGTTGCGTAATTTTTTCGGCTCAACGGGCGTCGGCTTAGTTACCAAGACGACAAGTTTTGCATGCCTAGTTACCAATTCTCAAATCCGTCTTTTTTGCCGCTGTTCTTTCAAATTTAACTTTCGCAAACCTATTTTTCCAATAATTTTTTCGGCTTAGTTTTTCGTCGCAGTTTCTGTCGCCTAGCTTACCACCGTCTTCAACTCGTTGCAGGCACAGTTACGAATGTAACAAGTGATGGGTGCGAATCGGGAGGCCTAGTAGAGTACAACTCATCGCCAGTGGGGAGCAACAGCAACGACATCGCTAGACTGTTGGTTCCCTATCGCTTCCTGGTCATAGCCACTGGCACTCAGTACGGACATCCGGTGAAGAGTGATCAAAGGCAGAAAGCTGACAGGATTACAGGTTAAACAGACCGTTTAATTTTACACGATGTCAATGTCAACAAAGTTTTCGACGATGCTAACTTCAAGAAAATTTTCACGAAAGAAAACAGTCATTTTAAATAAATAATTGGTATCCCTCTCACAAAAATTGTCACCCACTTATAGCGACCTGAGATCATTATGCAAAACGAAGCAAAAAGCATAAATTAATTTGTAAAATTGATATTGGTGATATTGGAGTTTGGTTGAGTCCCATTTTGTCAAAAGTTTCGCAAAAATCACAAAAACGGAGTCCCATTTTGTCCCGAGTTTCGCAAAAACTGTTTGTGCTGTGTTCTAAAATAGAAGGAGCGGCTAGCCACCCCCAAAATCATGTTACCTTTCTGCATTCACGACTGACACACGCCTTTAATTTCTCCTAGAGCGGCTTTGGTGCCAATTTCACTAACTTTCATCGGAGAGTTGGTGTCAAAAAGAACGAGAAATTTTTATATCTGAACGTGTGAGAAAATCTCCATAAAATCATTTTCCTCTAAAAGTTCGCAAAATCATACATTTATATTGTCCATCAGAACTCGAGACATCAATTTTTTAATATGAAAAACGATCAAAAATGTTTCGAAAACTGACAAGAGTTTCAGAGTTGAAAGAGTGGAGTGGTCGTCTCTCAAGTGCAAATGAGGTGGTGGTGGTCGGGGGAGGCTCAGTGGGCGTGGAGATTGTAGGCGCCATTGCATACAAGTTCAAACAAGACACCTCCAAGGTAGATCCAATCAGCTGTATAATCTCTCTCGCCTTTCTACAGAAAAAATATAATCCCCAGCAGTGAATTTTATAATTTTGGGACATATTATTTAACGGAAGCATGCATAAGAGCATATATAGTAGATAGTTTGGACCTCAAGGACCGGAAAGCCTTCGTTTTGTCGTTATATTGGAGCCTTGAAGACTTGTGTTAAAAGATGATTCAGTAACTGAAGCTCTAAATTGTTTTTGGTGCTTCTTAGTGGTTTTTTCACCTTTTCGGGGAGCAGCTAACTAGTGTTTTTATCTTACTTCGGAGAAAAGGTTAAATAGTTATTTGCGTTCCTTTTTCTTAAAAATGAAATAATTCGTTTTAAAAAAATTATTGCATGTTTATTGGCTAACTGTTTGTTTGAATCTATTTAATGAAACCAAGAGCAAAGTCGACAACCGAGATCAGGTGATTAATACAGTTTTTTATCTAGAAAATACACCTGGTCACAAGATCCAGAGTTCTTCTGGAGCGCCTCCCTCCAAATGCCAGTGAATATGCACTCAAAGCCCTCAAGCACCTCAAGGTCACTGTTCACTTCAACAAAGACGCTGACTCACTCAAGTCAGAAATATCCCCAGATGCTCTTTTCCTGCCTTCTATCACCAGAATCAACACGAGTTTTCTGGATAACAAAACTTTCAGAGGCTCATTAGCTGTGAATGGGGCAATCAAGGTCAACAGTTTCATGCAGGTAATTATTCTGTTATTATTTACAAAAACTGCTTTTTTTTCTCCGTATGCTTCTTTATTCATTTTTCTCTTACTTGACGTTTTGCTTGCTTGACAGTTGAACTAAATTTTAAGCGCTTTTTTGTTCCTTTTTAATCAAGAAAACTGAATAACCGTCTTCTTCAAATGACCATTTCGCCCTCATTCGCTTGTTCTTCACGCTCTTCAAACATGAAAATTGATTTGGAGTGACTTTAAAATTTCACATTTTGCTTGAAAAAATAAGAAGTTGCATTATCTGCCGCTACGGAACAAGTTTATGGAACAATCACACTTTTCTTTGAAGTATAAACCTATCTCTGAAATTCTTTACGACAACAAAAACTTAAAATTAATCCGAAAGCGCAACACATCGACACAAATGATAAAGGTGGAGCAAGTCTACTTTTGTTTTACTCTTTATTTATGAATTGCAGATATTTCTAATTATGTTGATTAAGAAACGCTAAGTTAAGAACTTCAGATGTGACAGGCGGTAATCAGATTATTGGATTGAGATACCGTAAGATTAGTGAGTTCAAAATGTATCAACGTTTACTAGACAGCTAAAATTTAAAGCAAATATTGCTACTGGTATCCACTGAACGATCCCGCCTTAATGTAACACACGATTAACCCTCCCCCTCTAATTGAACAAGACTGCTCGTATCAGGGCAAAGCCCTGAATGTTCCGACTGACCATGAACTGGTCTTGAATAATTTTTGATTAATAAAATATTGACAAACTATGAATTTTAAGGTGAATGTTAAGAATCGTGTATGGAATTAAAAGACCAACAAGACTGCTCGTATATCAGGACAAAGCCCTGATTGTTCCGACTGTCCCTTAAAAAATATTTTGAATAGAATTTGGGAAAAGAATATATTGAAAATCGATAAATTTTGGACAATATCAAAGTGTGAAATTTTGAGTCATAAGAAATTGATACGAACGACTAGCTTAGCCTCAATTCAATTTGGAACGATTTTGTTGCGCGGGATAATTCGCCATGCATAAATAATTCGAGTAATGCTCTCAGCGAGATGAATAAATTCTTCAAAGCGCGCATAATTTAGTCCAGACCATGACCAATTTGACATTTTTCAAACCCCCAAAACTTTACAAAAAATGGAGATGGAGGTAAAATATCGATATCTTCAATGAAAAAATTTTGTTGAAAATTATTATTTTGATCGGTGACAATTGACTGAATAAACAAAACCACACCGAACATAAATATTCCGTTTTCATCAAAAATCGCAACAACAAGATTGCTCGTATATCAGGGCAAAGCCCTGTATGTTCCGACTGCACTTAGGGCCTATTTTTGATTGATTAACTGACAAAATGCTGTGTAAAAAAGAAGTTTGTTTATTTATTTATTTTTAAAATTTCATCCCACTCATTCCATTTAAAATACTAAGGGTATTTTTAGCGTCTCGTATTGTAATTATAGGAGTTAATTTCTGGCCTCAATTCAATTTAGAACGCATTAATTTGCTTCTTAGGCGTGTTCTAATTGGCCAAGTTATCAACTTTCAAACGCCCGTAACTTTACGAAAAATAATCACTGGTAAAATATCTTTTTAAGTTTGACAAATTTTTTAACAATATTTAACAATTTTAACAATATTTTTCCGATGTTGCTAAAAATTCCGTCAAAAACGTTTACTTAGCAAGTTGAAAATTGACCGAATAAAAAAAATCACACCAAGCATAAATATTCTTTTCGTTCTCCGAAAGTCAGAACAGTTAGCCTGCCTCAATTGAATTCGGATCATAAATAATACGCGTTAAACTTTCAGCATCAAATTATGAAAGTTAGCGGCGGAATTAGTATTCTCTCGAGTGGGGGAGGAGCAAAATTTCAAAAAAAAATAAAAATTCTGTCGACCAATAGTTGAACAACACGCCAACGCCTGTCGAACAAGTTACTGATTACAAATCAACAAACAACTATTGAGCAACAAACTTTGGGCCTCAATTTGGAATAGTAACTGTTTTAAAGCAACTTGCTGGCTTTTTCAATTTGGTCGTTGCTCAAAAATAAATTGAGTGCATATGTTTTGATCAAGTCAAAAGCACTTTAATAAATTAATTGATGGATACAACTTAATTGTTTTTTCATCCTTTCACTTTTCAGCATCCTTGCTTGATTGCACTCTCAGAAGTTTTCTGGTTAAGAATCTTAGACAAACAAATTTTCCAACAAGTTTCTTCATTTTTTGTCTTCTCACTTCCACAACCTATATAAAGTAATTATAAAAATTGAGAACACTAAATTCAAGATGAAGCAATTTTTTTAACTGCTCTTTAACTTGTCTTAAATAACTTAAGTTTTTTAATAATAAAAAAGACTTATATTTCATCAGTAATCAATATCACTTAAAATGTTACACTTTGCATGTACAAATTAGCCTGACTTAATTAATATGAAGAATACTTAAATATAAGACAAAGTGTCAAAATAACACTAACATTGAAATTCGCTGACTTTTTTTGGTTTACTGAAACCAGACCTCAAAGATTTCAACTGCTGTTTGGGGCAAATTCTGCTGCTTTATAAAAGAAATTCTTTATTTGCTGACTCAATCAAAATTCTCATTAATGATGCGTTAATCAGAAAAACTTACTGTTTTTATCGCTTTTCTAAAAAAAAACAATTTGAAAAACGAGCAGAGCACTTTCAGGTAGCAAAATGGTAGATAAGTAGAGTTGCGGATAGGTTCATTTTTGTGCTTCTGAGAAACGAAACTTCAATTTTAATGTTTTAAAAATCGTTATGAGAAACAATGACAAATTCTGTCGTATGATTGAAGTTCTGCTCTATCTGCTGCTCTATAATCCAAATTCTGCAAATTCTACTAAATTTTGCTGCTAGCATAGTCCTTTGGGGCATGATTTAACCCAACAAGTTCCACGCGCCTCTTCGCGGATACCACTCAATTTCAAAAATAGCAAAGACGAAAGTATGTGTAGAGAGTGATACGAATCCTATCATGACAGTCACTCCCTTTCTTTTTTCCTTTTGGAGCGGAGGATTTTTTTTTTCTGACTATTGAAAAAAAGGGAAGAACTTTGAATTTGGGTGCGACCAAATTTTTTTTCTTTTTTGTTTTTCACGCTAAGTCAAGTACCACACAAAAATATTAGAATAGGTCGAGTGATAAAACATTACGAAGACACTAAAAGTTATGATTGGTGACAATCAAAAAACTGTGTCGAGAAAAATTGGTTAGATATTTTTCAGGTTTCGTCTAGTTTCGATCGACGAAAACAATCGAGTATAGTTCCTGATATATGCGAATTAGTCATCTAGACTAAACAAACTTGAAAACCATTTTAAAAGCTTCATTTCCTTTTTTTTGCAATAATGTTTTTCAAAAACTTGAAGAAAAGTTTTAAATTTTTTTTTGTGAAATTTTAATTTAGTTTTTTTTCTATTTTTTACCTTTTTTAAAAAAATTGTTGTCAAGTATGCCTAAATCACTAACTTACTTTGCTTTTAGCTCTCCCTGCAGACCACGAACAAAAAATAAGACTAATTTGAACAAGAAAAAAAACTTGTTTTTTTTGTAATTAACAAAATTTGTAATTAACAAAATAAATATTCCTGGAAAAGGTTAATGCTTTTCGATCATTACAAGGCCAAACTTTGCACTGCATAGGCGCACTATTTGGTGTCTGTAGGTCTATGAAATCCAGAGACAAGTTTTTTAATTGTTCCAAAGTGTAAGTGGGTTCCGTTTACAAAATTTTTGTGGATTCCGCGCTCAAATACGTGTAACGTAAGTTTTGTCGGCACATCAGTTTTGTCTCGGACGCCACAACGAGCAATTATAGCTGTTTCTAGAACAATTTTGAATAACAAAATGTTCTAGTTATCTGTTTGTGGAAGCCAAAACAGCAAGGAAGATCAAAGAAAACTAGCAATGTTGAGGATTCTGCGACTCCTTTGTTTTGTTTTTCATTTGTAGTGCAGGGAAAGTAAATTATGCGGGAAAAATTACTGATGTTAAAAGTATTCATTGCTCAATTAAATGAAAACTGTGGTGCAATTAAACTGCTGAATCGATCTCTGGTCAAATTTAGTTTTACATTTTTTTTTTGATTTTTTTAGCATGAAGAAAACGGATTCAACAAAAAGTTTCTTCGAGGTAGTAAAATTCAGTCATAAAAAGAACTAAATTTACGTCGAAGAAAAGGTCCACAGCAATTCATCATGTCGTCGAAACAAAATGGCGATGCAATGAGATATTGTGAATAAAATAGGAGATGATTTTTTACTAGAGCTGCGACAAATCAATTCTTTTTTTATCCGATCTTTTTGAGCAAGTTTGATTAGGCTTACGCTGACACACTCTTCAACTAAGCAGTTTTTGCTCAATAGCATAACTGAGCTGTTAGATAATTGATGTATGCCAAAAAAAACACGCTAAATTTTGGGTAAAATGTCAAACAATACTTAGAGTTTGATCTGGGCTTTTGTTTTTTATCGAAAAATACGATAAAATTTGATGCTCGTATCTTTTTAGTTGGAAATAGTCTGCGGCTTTTTTTCAGATTTCTTCTTTTTATTCAACCAAAGTATTTAATCATATTTTATTAATTGAGGAAAAAACAAGGAATAAAACTCGAGTGTGGATTGAACAGCCGGGTCGATGTCCGCAGTTTTTGATGATAATTCGCCGACCGATGACTCATAGTCTGGTAGAAGTTTTATAGTCGCGGACAAAATCTGAAAAAATTGTATTTTGATGTTGATGGTCTGAAAGTTAGAAGTGCTACTCTAAAACTTAGTCGCTTTAGTGTGAAAATTAGGAGTGATAGTCTGAAAAATAATCGCAATATTTTGAAAACAAGTCGCGATGGTCTAAAATTTAGTCGCGGTATTCTGGAACTTAGTCGCAAAATAGTTTAAAAATTAGCGACGAAGTTATCAAATATTGGGGAAAAACTCAGGGTGATAGCGGTCTGAAAGTACCATGTATCACATTCAGATCTCTCGTCACACCACGAATAAAAACGGCACTCTTTAAAAAAGACGCTGTTTTTTATTTAGTTTTTTCTTACGTGATTGTGACGTGAAATTTCTGAGGTACTTGCGCAGCAACCGGCTGTCCATTTATTTTTTGGTATGTACTTCTGATCAATACAAAAGTATCCAGAAAGAAATAAAATTCTCCAATTTAGCTCGATGTGCCTCAGAAACATATGAGCCACATGTTTTAGAAAAATTTCAAAAAGGTATAAAGTCAAGAATTAAAACCGAATGAGGAAACTTCTAAAAATTTCACAAAGAACATGCACGGATTAGAGTTCTTTGTTAGGATCGATGTAGCTATCTACCTCCAATGGCAACTACTGAAGAATCTCCACCCATCTAAATTGAACTGTAATTTACCATTAGAGCTTTCTTTTAAGAATTCTAATTTTGCTGCATTTTTGCGCGCAATAGGTGGACACTTTTCGCAACGTGTTTGCACTTGGCGACTGTTGCGTCACTCCCCTGAATGAGGAGAAGGGAATTTTGTCTGTGAACCAACTGGGTCAAGTGGTGTGGACTAATTTAATTCACAAATTGGAACGAGAGAGACTGGTCACTATGCCTCCACGTATACAGTTCATTCAAGGTACGCTTCTTATAGTAGTAATCTTGGGGGGGGGGGGGGGGGGTAGGTTTCTGGGTTCCTGAGGGTCGAATTCCAGATGGGGGAGGGGAGGGTGCCCGCCTCCTCCCTAAATCATCCCCTGAATAAGATTAAACGCGCAAGAGGTAGAAAAATAATAAAAGTTAAAAATTAAAGTAAAAAAGTTCCAATTTTTATAACTTTTTGTTGAATAAAATACGCTGTTTGCAGTAAAAGTGAAAATTCAAGAGAACTTGTGGGAGTGGTGTAGCACAAATCCACATATTCATGCAACATAAACTCTATTCAGCATTAATTTTGAAAAACTCTCGTACGCTTAAAACTGAGAAAACTGGGACCTCTAAAACCAATTCAGCTCTCCTCAAGAAATGAATGACTCCTCTTAAACTCCAACTTCAAATAGATATAGTTTCTGTATTTTGTAACCTTTCAGATTTGAATTTCAGCTATCACAATCGGCCAGGAAGACGGTCTGGTGGTGGCTAACTACAAACTCATGAAAACTGGATCCGAAATTCCTAAAATGAAAGCCGAATCAGCCGACAACTTCGGACATTTGGACAAAGAACTGGCTATGCTGAACAAAATGAACAAAGTCGTGTCTATTTTGGACTGTCTTTCATCTGTATGTTGCTGCTGCCCAATCTCAAGTGGGTACAGAGAGGCTGCATTGAGGAAAAAAGGAGCCGGAGGGAAATCTCAAGACCCAGACACCGAGAAAATCACCCCTAAATCTATCTGAAAATTAAGAAACTGTTTCTGAATATAACACAGATTGGCTTCGTTTTTCAGTTTTCATGAAGATCTTCATTTTTACAAGCTGTTAAATGTTCAAGTGCGACGAGATAACCTAAATTTTTTGTAAATTTTCCCGGATATAGAACTTAGAGTTTGCAATCTTCAATCGGTGCTTTGAGTGTCAAAAAATTATATAGTTCTCCATAGAGCTACTTTATCTATCAAAATCTAAAAATTTGCATGCTATCAGAAATTGCACTAGCCATCTTGGGAAACCTACAATTAAAGTATTTCTGCTATTTTTTGTGATTTCTAAGACAGATGAAGGTGAAATTTTTGGATTTCCACATGGGCGGATCTAAGATTCTCTCGAGGTAAAGGCGAGAGCGGATTTCCAAAAAGTAATTTTAGGTCGACCAAATTGATTTTCCGAGCAGTTTCAAATCACTGTAAAGGCCTTTTTTGACCAAATTTTCTGCGCTTCAAGCCAAATGTTGAAAGAACTGGCGTTTTCAGATACTTTTTGGAAAATTTGACAATTTTTGGTGAGCGCTTTTCACTCAAAAATAGATAAATTGGCGCCAAAGGCGCTTTAGAAAAACTTTAGGGCCGGTCAGTCACAAATGAACGTCCTGAATCCTGAATTAGTAGCAAAGGGGCAACTTTGGGTAGTCAGGGTGTCGAATTCTTGAGAGGAAAGGGCGTCGGAACCTCCAACCTAAATGCACTTCTGGGTTCACACTTAGAAAAAACAAAACTGATCAATATTCTGATTTGTTTCTCTTTTCCGGGCTTGTTTGCAGTGTCTGAAAACTTAAAAAACTCAAGTTGGTCAAGTTTGGGCACAGATACGAGGTCGAAATCACATAAATTGAAGCACATGATAAGGAAAGAAGTCTTTATAAACAACTGCCAAACAACTATAAAACAATTAAAGAAAGCTTCTACATGATTTATTTAGTGAGTGTGGGTGGTGAGTTATGACCTAAGTGGCTCTACTCATAGAGTAATTTCAGATAGGGTACAACGTCTGCTCGCCACGCTATCTTATTTTCGGCCGGATAGATTCGTGCAACTTCTTAGTCTAATACCGATCTTAATCTTACTATTATATCTCCTAGTCTCAATAGATCCAGAGTATACTGGTTTTTCACGAGTCGGTCTCTTGGAGAAAGCAACTAAGTTCTGATTTAAATTCAAATCTCTCTGGTGCTGAAATTACAAGTAATTTCAGCACTCACAAATAAGTGGGTTGTCAGTTTGATGGAATATGATTATTTAGTATTCAATATTTTATAGGTATAAAACATTAGAATCATATCCAATCATAAAATCTAGTTTAGATCTGGTTCCACCCATCTGGGGTTTACAGAGTTTTTGTTCTTTAACATTCTACTGTAATGAAGGATGGATGATGATGATCGTTTTGGTATCGCGAGCATCTTTCCTTTTCCGTTCAGGAAGAAGGATTTCTTATCCTTTTGCTCCAGGAAGCTGGAATCGTTGATATGAACTTGTTCTTCGATGAGTGTAACACTTTGTCACGGTTGTTTCGGGAGATCGGATCGGGATTTCTTATCAGTTTGTTTTAATCATTGGTTCTGTTTCATAGAGAACAGTGTTCCAATCTCGTTCGGGAATGGCGTGAAGTTTGAGTTTGGGTAAAGAGCCTAGTGACTCGGATCTGTACCGATACTTGAACATCGATGATATTGAGATTTTGTTTGTTTGAGTTGTCAATTTTTAGCGGGTTGCTTATTTTTGACATGGAGGTCTTGAAGTTATAGTTAGACATACGCTTGAAGGTGAATATGTGTCGGCTAATGAAGTCGTGTTCTTAAAATGAGATGATGATTGGGAAGGATTTCTATTGGCTGAATTTGAACTAGATTGTTCAAGTGCTTTTTCAGCATGATCTTTGAGAAAGTGTACTTGTGTTTAAAATAATTTAAAGGGGTGAAAATTTTAATTAAAATTATATTCGTTTCTTAAATTCAACTTTCATTAAATTTTAGCTTGTGGAATGAATGTCTTATCTTTTCGTGGCTGATTTCGGATTCGCGATGATTGTCTGTGTTGAGACTTTTTTTTGATCTTGTGGTAGAATTTTTTCTTCTAATTTTCGATTTTTTCTTTCTGTTTGAGGTATCTTTTTATTATGTAAATAAGGGGATGTTTGTTGATTTAATTCCGTTTTATTTTTTTGTTCGAGTGGTTTTGGGTTAGGGTTTACATCAGTGTTTTGATTTCGTTTGTAATCGGAATTATTTTGAATAACTTTCAATCCTGCAAAGGAGCATAATTGAATTAATTCGGATTGAGCGTACTCTTTTGGACAATAAGATAGAAGATTGTTTCTGTGTTGAACAAGTTCTTTTTTGTTCGAATCTGTAAGTTTGTATGTTACAGCAGTGGGTTTATCAATTATTTGATATGGTCCTTTTTGAAGACGTTTTATTTTTTTAGAAATACCTTTTTGGGTTGTAAAATTTGGAATTGAAACGTATGTTCCTACTTTTAAGTTTGTAGCTGGTGTGAATCGAGAATTTATTTGAGAATTTCAATTTTGTCTTTGTAACAATTGTTTTGTTTTTTTTTCTGATAAATTTCATTTTGCTTTTATCTCTGTTTAAAATCCAATCGGTATATGTACCGGAAGAAAATTTTAAAATCTGTGGGTGATGAAAGTGGTCTTTATTGTGGGTATGCAGGGGTAGATTATTTGCTGTGAACATTATCGGTTTTCGTGGTTTTTGCTTAAAAACTATTTCGTATGGTGACATTCCTAAAAATGTTGTGATTTGTGAATTAAAAGATAGAGGGAATAGTTTTACATCTGTTGACCATTCAGTGTATCGTGTGTCATTTCCGTTAATGATACATCTGAGATATTCTTATAATGAACGGTTCATACCTTCAATTAGTCCATTATTCCAAGGTGCATGAGATGTACGTGGCTTAAGTTTAAAATTATATAGGTGGCATAATGTGATAATTTCGTTGTTTATAATTGCAGTGCCATTGTCTGTAACAAGGATTTCGGGTAATCCGAGTTTTGCTATCCAGTGTTCATAAGTTGTTGTGTATGCGTAATAGGCATTACAATGCGGTACTGGGTTAAGTGCTACATAGTGTGTAGATGCGTCAAGTATGACCATTTTATATGAGTTTCCTTCTGAGGATGGTGATATTGGTCCTTTCGTATCAAATGAAATTCTGTGATTGAAATATAGACTTTGTACTTTGAAATTTTATTTTTCAGCAATTTTCTTTTGATTTGGGTAATTCTAAAATATCTGTATTCTCGTTTATGGATGTATTCTTACATTTTCTGAATAATCCAAGAATTGTCTTATTTCCTAGAATTGTGATGTCAGCTTTGATTGGTTTGCTTTTGTATTTGTGCCAAAATTTTAGTTGTCTAATGACTCAGTCGAAGTTTTGATGTTTCTGTAATAATTCTAGTGTGATTTTTTTCTGTGCGTGGTAGAAAAAAGTTTTCAACTTCTTTTTTTGATATAGGTACTGTGTCTAGAGGGTCATGGAGGTTAAAGACTTGATTTATCGTGTATTTTGAGTAGTTATTTATTGGGCCTGATAAATGTATATTATCAGTTAGGTTTTCCTTTTTATTAAGGGGAATAGATCTTTTTTATATTTTTGTTGTCTTAATCTGTTTCATGTGCTAATACAGTTTCATCATCTGAACTTTGCGTTCGAAAATTTTTTCTTGATAGTGCTATGAGATCAATGTTGTGGACAAAAAAATCAATTAAAAACCATGATAGTAGTCTTTGTAAATCATGTTCGACATTTGGTGAGATTTCGTTACTAATAAGGTTTTCACGTAAAAATTTTGAGGAAAGATAGAATTTTGTCTTACAGTTGAATGTCGGGATGTTTGAGTTGGTGACTCATTTTGTGTTTCTTCAAATTCTAGTATAGATAGACAGCTATAAAAATTGAAAAAACATCGTTTATGAATATTGATTCTGCTCATTGTGAATTTAGGGGTTGTATATTTTTTATATAGTCTGTGTTAACTTTCGAGAATTCTATATCTATATCATGTGTTTGTGTTTGATGTGTAGGGTGATTTGATTTTGGTGATAAAATTTCAATTGTGGATATACCGTAAAATGATGTGATATTACATGTACCTTTGAGATAGTGGTCAAGGATTCTTCGTTTTATTCTTACTTCAAAAAATTCCTGTTTACATGGGCTATTTCTTTTTTCAAATAGTTTTGCAGTTAAGTTGTGACAAAATTGTACTTGTGCTTGGGCGGGATCACCTTGTGGTTGAAAGAAAAATGGGAGTATCGAGTTATCATCAAAATTTTTGTTGTCTTCGATCATGTTTTATATTAAAGAACTGTTAGTGTGTAACATTCAATATGTCATATTTGTTGATTCCAATTATATAGGCGTGTTGATTTTTTTAGGCGTATAGGTGTATTGGTATATGATTTATTTATTTTGCGTTTTCCTTTAATTGATGATGGTGTTGTAGCTTCTGAGTCAGAAAAATATATTTGGTCTTCTATCGGGTTTTTCTGATTTATTGAATTTTTTAAGTCTTGAAGTTCTTGCTTTGTGTCCGTTTCTGATTCTGGGACTGCGTTTTGTCGTTTTGAAAATCGCTTGTTGATAATTTGCTTTTGTTTTGTTAACAGTCTCATGAAGCTTACGTTTGAATCAAAAGAACTGATAGAATACAAAGCTGTGAATTCAATTCAATCAAGGGGTCTTCGCAAGGTGTCAGTGAACCCTATTCATTCTAAACTATCGACTGTAGTCGAGAGAGATTGTGAGGCTTCCGCCTTATAGCAGGTTCCTTGATTTAAAAGCATTAATTAATTGCACTAGTCTGTTTTCATTAAAATTGCATGACTGACAGCTGTGGCCATCCAATTATGGTAGACATCGTCTGTGCTCGGCTGAGCTTCCACCAAGATTGTGAATGAGCGATTTGCTCTATAAATAGCTCAGAAGCACTGAGGTTGAGTAAAATTGCATGTTATAATCTGATTAATGACAAAATATCTTGAGAGCCCCTTCTATTCTTCTGAGGAGGCTGTCGGGATCCCTGGTACTGTAATAACACATCATGACTCGTTCCTTGTATATAGCTCTCAATATTTTTTACATTTTCAAAAAAAAACAGTTTTTTTCCCAAAAAATTCAAAAAGTTTGAAATCGCATGCCTATGGTGTGTCGGTATCACGGCATTTATCATTACTCAAATGTATTCCTTTTCCAAAAAAGTGTAGA